CACACACACACACACACACACACACACACACACACACACACACACACTCCATCCCTGCGACCTGACACTGGGTAAGATGAACATTGCAACCCTGTTCTATTTGTGCTCCGTTTCCACAGACGCGCGCCGGTCACATAGAGACCGCTGTGCTTCCCTCCTCATTAGGACACAAGCTCCGGCATCCCTGCAGCCAGCAGGGGGCAGCAGAGACCTTTCACAACCCCTCTCTGCCGAGTCCCCGCTCTATATGCATGAAGAATGTCTGGCTGGGTGAGCTGGGATGAGCGAGGTTAGAGAGAAAGGAGGGGAGATAGAGGGAGTGAGCGATACCAAGACCCCCCTTGGCTGCAACGCTATCTGGCTGTAAACGATGGCAGACCTGAGCCTGAGCGGCTCAGGTCTGCGCCTCAGGTCTGCCATGTGCATTCATTGTGTGTGTGTGTGTGGGTGGTGGGTTTTAATATCATTCCTCATTGTACCTTTATGTAAATACGTGTCTGGGCTGCCTGTGTTCAGGTCTATCTTGTGTGCTTAGGTGAATGTGTATGTGCACTGTATGTGTGCTGCATGTTGCAGTTTTAAGGCCGCTGTTCTGCAAGTGTGTGTGTGTTTGTGTGTGTGTGTGTGTGAAGTGTGTCTGCATTCACTGCTTGTTGCTGCCTGTATTCCTATTCCTATGAAGCCAAAATATGATCAAAACCGTCCACGGTCCGGACATTTTGCTGCCCAATGTTGGTATGTATTGGTTTGGACGCTGTATTCCCCAAAGGCAGTGCTGAGATCTGGGGACCACTAAAGGAAAGTCTGAGGGAGCAACAAACAAAGCCCTCAGGTTAGCCAAACTTTGGAGAGCTTTCTTTTCTGGGTTTCTAAGTTGTTGTTTTTTATGCTCCTCTTCAAGGTGAGCCTCCATCACAGGTCACAGACTTCCAAGCTAAACTGCGCGCGCACAGGTTTCCTCTGCAGTGAGGGATTATCACAGACAAGTTCAGGCTGAAGCCAGACAGGTTTGTTTGAGAAATGACGAACAAGCTTCATACCCCATTGAACTACGTACAGATCTCAGTTTGGTGAGACGTTATCACAACCAAATGAATGGCTAAGCATACAAAGTGTACATCTAAGTGGACTAAAACAATAATTATCCTTTAAGATGGTGGTTTAGGGTTCGGACTAGAAGTGGGACCTAGTTCAGGTCAAGGTTTCTAGTAAGATGAGGCATGTAGTGCTCATGTTTAACCTGCTATTACGATTTTTTGGCCACTTGGGATGAACATAACAAACTGTAAACAATACTTATTAGTGTGTATTATTGTCACCGTAATGAGTTGCTATGGCTAATCTGTTAGCAAACAGTTGCATATTTACAGCACAGACAAAAAAATGTCTCTTTAGCTGCTAAACACAGCAGCTAGTGGCTAACTTTGTCCGTTTGCTGTCCGGTGCTGGGTAGACCGGGTACAGTGGGTTTAATCAGAGCTTTTCAACTGAAAGCCACGGCGATGAGAGGAGCGATGGTGAATGAAAACAGTCAAGTTGTGAGAAGAAAACCACCAAAAATGAGCTGAAAGACGCTAAAAAGCAATAAGTAATTTCATCCGTTGTTAATAGTGTTAAGTGTTACAGCAGACCTGCTTTCAGGTTAGTGCTGAGGTTTTTTAGTATTAGACTGTAAGCAATAGTTCTGTTGATCACTTGCAATTGAAACGCTTTTTATAGTTTTGTTTTTTTTGCTGCTGTGAACAATACTCAAATATTTCAGAGCTTCTGGGAACTCGCTGATGACACACTCGAGGTGTCAGTCTTCCATGCATGGTGGTGTGTTTGCAGCCAAGTATTATCATCGGCAGACAGACGACGGTGCAACAAAGTGTGGGTTGTCGAGATTAAATCATCACCGAAACCGAATGAAACTTGTGAAACAACATCATGATGTGCGTGGAAGGAAACTCCACCGCGGGATTCATTTGAAGCGGTGAAGCATATTTGACTGGTCAACAGCCAGATCTCGAATACTTCCCCTCCCTCAGCACACTGGCAAGATAAACCAGACAAATTGATAATAAATAGGCTCAAGCACTCTCCTTCAAATGCTTAATTTCACAACTGACGAGCCATCTTACATTACACGCTTTCTTTTTCGGTGTCTCCAGATGAGGGAGGGTCGGCGTCATCAAATTTGTGGTGAAAACATAAGAGCCGGTCTGGGTCCTCTCTTGTTATGTAGGATATATTTATAGCCCCAACACAGTAACAGAGTTACAATGTAAAAACATTGTTGCCACTAATGAATATAGTTTAATTGATTGCTACATGAGAATCCACACACTGTAGCCCATAATTAGCTACTACCCATATAGCCTTACATATTGCTAGCTATTAAAAACCCATTCAACTCATTGCGAATGAATAATCAATAGCCCCGACTCTAATGCATTATGCTAAAATTACACCATATTTAGAAAATAGGGTTCAATTACCTAACTTTTTTAGGAATGTTCTAAACTTGTCCGCAAATATTGTGGCATTAACTGTTAAAAAGTTTTCAATAAAACAACAGCAAATACGTAGAAAATGATACTGATACTGTCTGCCCTGTCCCTACCCGTCCCTTTTCCCCACAGAACAGTACCACTGTGTGTGTGTGTGTGTGTGTGTGTGTGTGTGTGTGTGTGTACCTGCAGGAGGGCTGAGCCGGGATACTTGGGAACTGACACTCCCCGTGGACGCAGTAGTTTTTGTAGTGATCTGGACAGGGGATGTACAGGCCGCGGGCCAGCTCGTTCCTCGGATCCTCTTTTTCCTCATCTGCGTGAACAAATCGCATACACACACAATCCATGAATCCTCAAAGCAACATGTGTGAGATGAGAGAAACGCTCGAGAGAGCAACACAAACAAAGAATTGAACGGGAGTCAGGAGAACTAATGCAGCTTTGAGTGGCAGCACGTGTTATTTGGCGATCCGCCATTGCACTCACCTGTGTTGGTCCGTGCAAAGTGTCCGTCTCCGCCTTTGATGTCGCCTGGAAAGGTTGAAAAACAGATTCAAAGTGATTTCAGGTCAACACAACCTCCCCCGTGGCTCCAGCCCCCCCCCTCCATTATGGGTTATAACGTTCAAACTGACACCGGTGCGAGTAGGGGGGAGGGGAGGGGGGGGGGTTGAATGTGAATCATCATCTCGACAAAGGGTTCACCTGGTGTGTGTGCACCCGTCCAGTTAATGTGTATGTATGTGAGCTATTCTCTTCAAAAGTGAGAGAGCGTCACACCTGGAGAATGGTGGAACGGAGCAGAGCTGGGTGGAAAAGATCAGAGGTAATAATGCATGTTCTGCTCACCTTATTGACGCTGCATTGAATTCCTCTTTTCACAATGGCAAGACAAAATCTCCTTCCAATCATTATCATTTTATTGCAATTGATTCCTTTCAGTGGTCCGTGAATTTATTCCCTCAAACTGAGTCTGTAAAAGTATTTCCCAGGTTTACGGTGCAATTATTTCCTTTTTTTTTTTAATCTTGTTTATTTTTCCTTTTTTATTGGCTCTCGGAACACCAGCGGAAGAATAATAGTGAAGAAACAAAGCGGCGTTTCCTTGAGATCAGTTCCTAGAGTCTAGTTTGTATGAAATCCACGTAAGAAAAATGACATATAAGACTAAATTCCTTTTTAGGACCGCTCACCGAGGGAGACGCTGCAAACTAAACAAGACTACGGCTGCAAAAATTACTCTTTTCTTTCTCTCATCCTCCTTCCTTTCCTAGCTTCACACATTGATGACAACTTGAGGTCTTAATGATACTGCACTTCAATTTATGAGCATCTGGTGCCACAACTGCATAAATGAAAAAAAAAAGAAAAAAGAATGCTAGGCATATTCAATTCTGAGCTACGTTAGAAAGCAAGACTATTTCCAGAAAAAAATTAAAACAAAATGTAAAACTGTTTCCCTGTAATATGACAAGTGACACATGGTGAAATAGTGTAAACCAGCAATCTAAATATCAAGGTGCCACTTTGAATCCCGGCTAATGTGATGTCTACTTTTTCACAGGTCCAAATCCCTCCCGTTTCTTGCTTCGCTCTCCACTTTTCCTGATTGTATCGGAATGCGTGGAGCCGTGATGGGATCGATCGGGGCGGTGCGACCCAAAAGGGTGCAACATGGGGGAATACAGATTTGTCTTTGTGTTCCAGAGCTGGTTAGCCCTGATTACTTTACTCCCCATTACTCCTCAAAAGCCTTCATCTCGGTTCTCACATCTCGATCAATTGTCCCGTTGGTCCTTGGTGGACGCAGAGCCAATCAAATGCTCGCACATGTACCCATACTCAATAAAAGCCGCTAACAATTGAGATTTGAGCAGCCCCCTGGATTGAGACGGTCTCTTTCTCTCTTTCCACCTTGTGACAACTTCGGCCAGATCTTGTAGTTGCATAAAGCAAAATGAGTTCAAACTAAGGAGAAATTAAAGTGTTGGGAGATCATACCTCAAATAAAATAAAAAAAAGCTTATCGACAAGAAATGTTCTCAAGCGCCTTTGTCTTCTCCCCTCGTGGATTAGCACTATCACTCGGTTTAGGGATTCAACCACAGAGATTAATAGAATAACTTTATCCCTAGGACCATTGCAAACAAACACTGCACCCAAATAAAAGATACTACAGTAAAAAGGGGGGGGGATTACGTTCAGTAAAATTATCAATATACATAGCAGAGAAGGCTATGTGGGATTTGGGGATTATCTTTGCACACTATTCTGAAATATGATTGAGTGCAAATTCTGAAATGTGGTTGCAGCTGCGGCTGGAGAGAGATATAGAGAGTCGTGCGGTCTGCATTCAGATCTGCAAGCTGCCTCATTTGCCCCCAACTTTAACCTGACGGCTTCTGCTATGTATGTGTGTGTGTGTGCGTGTGTGAGGGTGATGTCGTGTCTGTTGGAGCAATCGCATGCTGTGCGTGTTTTGGAGATCTGACCTTGGCAGTGGCCCAGGTACTTGACCTCGATGCGTTCCTGCTTCTGACAGGACGCCTCCTTCACCTGGCAGGGGTTGTCATAGGAACGACCGTCTGAGGCACACACCGGGTTGAAGCTGATGTGGGAACAGTCGATGTTGCAAACACACCTGCAGAGCAAGAAATCATATTAGTCGAGGCGTCCCAGCATTTTATTTTATTATCTATGCCAAGATCTGAGATAAATGAGATGTGAATAAAAACGATAGCATCTTTATTCTGAGAGACTTGTATGTGGTTTTGACAGCGAGGGACGCGGACTCGTTTGGGGATTAAAAAACGAGACAGAAAAAAAACAAACAGTACAGCTTGCACTCAGTCAGGATGTTGGACCTTGCATAGTAATCCTATTCAAACTGGGTTCTGGCACATTCAATCTGACACAATAGAAAATGGATTTAACTCCACGAGACAGACTCCACGGAAGGCTTGATTGACAGATGATGTGTTCTTATAATGGCAGGAAGCAATTAATAATGACAGAATTGTAGATAACAAAGCAGTACATTTTTTTGTGTTGCAGGGGAAATTGCAGCACAAAAAACAGCCGCCATTCCAAGGCTTTCAGATATGTAATTTATTCTAGATAACATTGAAAATAGCCTGAATGGAAAATAATAACGTATAAGCTAAAGCTATCATAGTGCACACTGAAACAGCTCGGTGAAAAAAGAAGAAAAAAATTCATTGAAGATTGCAGAGCAGCTTTCTGGTATTACCCCATGTCTTTTTAATGTCCTTCAACAAAGCCCACTCGGCTGAGAAATTCTTTAAAGCGATCTTGATGAGGAGGAGGACGGCCGCAGAACATTGGCTTCGAGGCCACAGGCATGTCTGGTGTGTTATTGTCACAGCTCGGCACTAAAGTGTGGCCTACATTACCTTCAAATGGAAATTCTGTTATTTCCACAAGCAAGTAATAATCACTGATAGCTTGATTAGCTTAAAGTGGCAATATACATATTTTTTGTTGTTGTTGCTTTATCTCATCATTATGAAGTAAATGCTGATTGCACAATGTAATGGCTATAGAATAATGACACCCTCGGCGTTCCGATTGTTTCCCTATTAGCCTCGCTTTCACTATGCAATTCTGTCCGCCACTGGGTCATGGTCTCCCGGGGAAAATGAAGGCTCCATTTTTTTTTTACTAGTTTTACTCTGCCTGCATAATAGCACTGAGCTCAGGGTTTCTAGTTCAAATTGATGTTCTTACGGTTGGTTCTTGCTTTGGACAGTAGCCAGGCTAGTAGCGGTGGCTATGTTGCTAACGCCACTGCTAGGTAACGCTAGCAGCCCGAAAACGAACCAGGGGCTGCAAAAGAAACAAACATCTGTGTTTGTTTCTGGCTGCTAGTGTTAGCTACCGCTAGGCTAACACTAGCAGCCAGACAGAGACATCTACGATACGTTGTCCGTTTGGTAATCCAAAAACAGATTTATTTTCTCTTTTTTGCAGTCTCCTTTCAAAAATGAGCTACTATATTCTGTTGTATCGGTTATAACTGATGATTATATTCAGTGCAAGTTTGCAAAAGCTTTTTTACATTAGTGACTACGAGCCAAATTAAAATTGTGTTCGGGTTTAGTAAAAGACATCATGGTTTGGGTTAAAATGACTACATTTGTTGTTATTTAAGGACGGCAATTTAAATAAATAAACGGTCACTTTTGGTTTCAAACGAGACACGATCAGTTTTTTTGCCCCATTTTTTGCTCCAACCTCCTCCCGACACAAACTTTCGCGGACGGTCTTTTGAAATGATACGTCAGAAACATATGTAATCCGCGAAAAGTTATGTTTCCCTCGAAACCAATATATACCCAAATATAAAGAGAGAGTGAATGTCAATGTTGTCTTTGGCATATAGCTATGCTTTTTCTACTCCGTATATCAGATCAGTTGCGCCCGTCCATACAGCTGATGTTTCTAATGTGCTTTTGTGGCAGACTAATGCATTCATTTCTCAGCGACTCAGGCGCTTACTTGACACTTTCAGCGCTCGCAAATTAACCGGGCAATTTGCTGTCGCAACACAATTTTCGGTGACATTTAAGTGTGAGACATTCTGTGTTTGTCTCCATGTGTGTGAGTGTGTGTGTGTGTGATAGTCTGTGTGTGCGACATCTGCAAAAATGACAGAGAGAGAGTCAGCACATACACCTGCGTGCATGCGCATTAATGTTTGTGTGTTTGTGTGTGTGCACGTCTTTTGGCACACGTGTAATGTGACCCTTAAGTGCGTGACAGGCCTGATCAGCAGAAATTACACCCAGATTGCCTTCCCTAGACAGTTGCTGCTGAGTAGCACTGAACGCTAGATTCTGTAATTATAAATCTGTCATTATTCTCCTGGTCTTTTCATTTTCCCCTGGTGCCAAGCTCCTAGTAAAGCACAGCCATTCAGCTGTCTTACAGCTGCATTTGCATATGCGCCCACGTGGGCGCCCGCCAACACATAACCGTGTGCCCACACACACACAAACACACACGAGCAGACATCTTCTCAATCAGCCATGATGATTCGTACTGCTGACATTGATGTTGATTGAAACGCCGTGCAGCAAAGTGTGGCAGTGCTCAGCTACTGTTGTAATGATGGATCAGCAAAGTAAGAATGATGTAAAGAAGGGCTTTGTTATGCATCAGAGAAGACAAAATCCTGCGTGACACTGCAGGTGAGCCGATGCAGCTCTGAATGACCTGCCACTGCAAAGGGTTACACAATGACACAGCAAAAAGAGTAGGATTTTCTTGAAAAATAACGTATAGACCGATCCCAAAAAAATCCCTCTCAATCATCACTTATGAGACCTTGCTACCTTGGCTCCTATAAAATGACGTTCCGATACAACTAAACTACATTCTCAAACTAGTTTTGAGATAAACAAGTGTATTACAATTGCAGTTTTAAACAGCAAAAAAAAATGCAACTAACTACTTTGTTAGGTTTAGGCAACTCAACTACTTGGTTAGGTTGGGTAAAAAACAGTTTGGGTTCAAATGACTACGTTTGTAAGGTTATTTAAGCTGCGGATGTAAATTAGTATAAGTAAACGTTCACTTTTGGTTTCAAACGGAACACGATCAGCAGTCTCCTGGGTGAAAGTCCTGTGTTTGTCTGACCCATCCACAACTCCATCCTCTTCCTTACATGAACATCATTCCAAAAACAAACGTAATCCACATATTATGTTTCCATTCCCTCGAAACATAATACAGCTCGGCGAAGGGGCAAACGGACAGAGCTCCTTCTGAAACGAGAGAGAATGTGGGGTTTAACTGTCACCTGCTGACGACTACCCTAACCTCGTGGAGCCAGTAGGCTCATTGTGTTTAAAGGGTTGATTCACCCAAATTCCAAAAAAAGACATATTCCGTCTAACCCCAAGACAATCTCGAGCTGTGCATAGTTTGGGTTTTATTTGCAAAGGTTTTGAAATATCTGCCTCAAGACCTCGCTGTCAACAGCTGTCAACAGAGAAATAGCCCCAAAATGAACTGTTGACAGTCCGTATCACCCACAGAAGTAAAGATACTGTCTGTGGAAAAATATTTTGTTGTTGAATTTTTATATTTGTGATTTGTTTCACTACAAATTAATCCCCATTCGCTTCCCAATAAAGGGTATAAAAGTGACAAGAATCAGAGATAAGAATACATTGATAAACAACCACAGATCCAACACAAAGTCTTTGTGACAAAAATTGATAAAAAATATATATTTTCACTCTTGAGCTCATCTGCCTCTGATCTGTGTGTGTGTGTGTGTGTGTGTGTCACCACTCTCTCGCTAGCTATTCACATATGCCGAGCTTTTCACAGAGAAAAAATAATACAATAAAATACTCTACCTGTATACAACACTGCCTGAAAACCTTACCTTGAATCGTCAGTATGTAAAACACACAGCAGTATCATGAAATGTACCAGTGGCAATATAAATCTTGCAACATCAATGTGTACGCTGACAGCAGCAAATGTCACATCAAAAGTACACCAGCCCCTAACTCCTCTTGGTTGAAGGCAAATACTGAAGAACTCTGTTTTATTTACAAGGACTTGTACCCGTATAGCATTATTCAAGACAATACATTTAGGATTGTGACCTGGGTAGATTTTAGGTAGCATAAAAGCAAAAAACGTGTATTACTCCCCATGTCTACTGTTGTTGGTGTAGCAGTAGACAACAGGTATTTGTCATTCAGTATTTGATATCAAAATTAAGAAAATATGTTTTGTTTTAGTCACATATAATTAAAACTACATATAGTTTAATAATAAACTATAAGTAAAAATATGAAATCTTGTCCAACTGTGGCTTAATTGTGTTGTGCTGAATTGGCTTGGAGAGAATTGTATTGTTATAAATATAACTACAATATATTTTTTGGTATCGGATCATGGACAGTGTATCTAGACAAGTGTCAAATCCTCTAAGAGGGATAGATACACACCCCTACCTCCATTGTGAAAGGTAAATGCAGATACCACACATTTAAAGACAAAATTATATGTAGAGATAGATACAGGCTAGAGACGCAAGTGAGTTCTTTTTTTTAGTTTGAGTTAACCTTTAAAGTGTATTAAAAAAACCAGACTTTAATTCAGCAATAGCCACCCACCAACCAGAGACGATTAGGCTCACAATTAAAATGGCTGCTTTATCATTAAAAGTATCTAAATGAGCATAGTTCAATCATGAAAGGAGGCAGCGAGAAGAATGGTGATGAACTAAGAAAGCGAAACATCTTAAGAGCTTCTGAGCTAAAAGGAAATGTTCACACGTCGGGAGTATAGGCTTCACGCTGCACACATGTACATGTAGACATGCACATTATCCCCCCACAACCTCCCACCGTAGGAGAGCTTTCAGAGCTTCGGCCATCCCGAGAGGCCGCTGTTGCTCGGTGGCTGATGTCTGGGCTTCATGCATTTTTAATGAGGCCTCTCACTTTCTCCACAATAGGCACTATACCACCAGACTGCAGTGCGTCAACACATCCTAATGCTGCCCGCACACGCACTCGAACACCTGCAGACAGGCGTGCGCAAACAGCCATGTACATGCGCAGGGCGGGCGATCGCTTTGTGATAAGCATCGCTTTT